GCTTTGTGCCTAAGATGGGACTAAAACTCACAGTCTCCTGGTTTCTAGCCTGGTGCCTTAACCATTACACTAAAGTGGTTCTCAGTGTGGAGGTACTTAGATGTGTTTTGATGATCTATAAAAATATGATGTCATTCTCTATGGCAGATGGGTAACCTTCTGAGATGCCATTGTGCAATGTCATATGATTGGAATAGGAATACCTATTTTCAAAAAATAAAATAAAAGATGCTATCTTGAAAAATGGCCAAATTCCATTAGATTTTGCTGATCTCATTCTGGACTCTTGTATTCTTTCATTCTGGTCAGCACCCTTGAAACCCTGTGAGATTTCAGCGTAGGAATGTTATTTCAAGATGTGGCCCATTTTAGTGTTTAATTTAAGAAGGGTTTGCTGACATTATTTACAACTATTACAAGTGCTGTGCTGCCAGTCCCTACCCTATAGAACAATGTTTCCTCTTCAAGTAAAGATCATGCAGTTCATGAAGTGTGAAACCAGTATGAGGTGAAATAATAACCTATAAAGGAGATCTAATTACCACTCAAAGTTTACTTGAAATACAAGAAAGTAATTCGTGAATAAGATTCCAAAGCAGCAGAAGAAAGATGAGTAAATAAGCAAGTTGGGGGCACCACATAACATGCTCTTTTCTTGAGTACCAAGTTCTTTCTGTCCCGAAGGCAGAAAACATTTTCATGATAATCTATAGCAGCAACAAAGCAGAAAGGAACTGAGAAAGGTCTGAACCTGTAAGATCCATCCAGCTATCTTTATATCTTCCTTTCTTCTTGATGCTTACTAATAACGTGAAAATACCTTATTTAAAGGGAACATTTCTTTGGAAGTTGACATATGAGAGGAAATGGAAGACCTAAAGGGATATATATGTTCTCGTTTTCATGCTCTCATCAGAAGAACTGTAGTTAACTTTCTTCTTCTAATTTTGAAAAACTTCAGAATTTTCCATGCATTTGCTAATGCTTAACATGCCACTGGCTGACAAATCTTTCAATCAAGATGGGATGTTAGAGCATCTCTAAAATCCCTTGAAGATTAATCTACCTAGTTAGACATCCTTCAATTCTTCTTCAAGGTCTTCATTAAAACTAATATTTAAATCAATTTACTATTACCTAAGATTCTATCACTCTCTGATACTGATTTTATTTATTTATTCATACATACATGCATACATATTTGGGGAATAGAAATCAGAGAAATAGATTGTGCATTGGTTCCACCTCTTGAACTAATCATCCTGAGAGTTGAATGGCTTTTGTCCTCTGTGAAATCTGACCTCATATAAAATTTGTTTAATGCAAACACAGATGTCCTGCATCCATAAATATAACTATCCTTCTTTGTAGGAAACAGGTATATGCACAAGGTAGGAATGAGACACCATACTAAAATAATAGTAAATTGATTTGGAATTTACAAGTGGGGGGTAACAGAGAGAGAGAAAATATTATAATCATCCAGGTCAGCGTTATGCTTTGAATGTAGTAACACAACGTGGAAAAAAATTACAAATACATTGTAACAAGGTTGTAAGGAGAATGAATCTGGACTGTAGATGTATACAACCTATTTGTATCATGTAGCTTACAGAAATCTCTAGCTTTACTAATTTGATTTCAATTTAGTTTTATAAATTATATTACGTTATATTACATTACGTTACATTACATCGCATCGACTCATCCCACCCGGTCAGGCAGGGAAGGTATGTTAAGGACCCCTTTGATGAAAGAATGTCGACTGGTGGGGCCCAGAAGGAGAACCTTCTCTGCTGTTGCCCCCGCCCTATGGAATGCTCTTCCCCCAGGGGTGAGGCAGACCCCTACTCTCCCGACCTTCCGGAAGGGGCGAAGACCTGGCTCTGCCAACTTGCATGGGGCGAGAAGAGGGGCAACCAACCCTGGGGGTGGCTGGCACCTTGAAGATTCTCCCATAACCTTTATTTACCATCCGTATGTTGGAAGACATTATTTATGTATGAACATGTTTTTTATTGTATCTTAATTAATATTTATATACATTTATTTTATACTTTATTTATATTTATATTTTTGAATTTAGACACTGACCATCTCACAAGGAAGTGACTCTGGGTGGTTTACAATAAAACAACAAATAAATATCAATTAAAATACAATAAAAACAGTCTAAAAATACAGTAAAGCCAAACACATACATAAATAATATTTATTTATTATTTTACTGTAAACCGCCCAGAGTCACTCTTGAGCAAAATGGGCACTAACTAAATTTGAAATATAAATAAATAAATAAATAGCTAGCTAGCTAGCTAGCTGTTCATATGCCGATATACAAGTACACAATGTTTTGTAGATACTGTACGCCTTATTCATCAGCAATAATTTCCGATTATTGCAGAACTGTAAAAATGCATTAGAAAGATGGTTGGCTTTTTTTGTCCTTCAAAAATACTGCTGTACTTAAAAATCAACAATAAAATTAAAAATGAATGTAGTAAAGTTATACTCTAAGAACTGTTTTGCGGTGCACACCAACTGTTGATACAGATTAAAAGCTTGCTGCTGGCGATAGTCTTCTGTGTGCTAAAAACTGTATGGCAAGTAGCTGAGCAACACTGATAATTCTAGGCAATTTGAATACTCCCTGAAGGCAAGTATTGTATTCTGGAGCATATGTCTTTTTCCACCCCTTCCTTATGATGCAGTTAATTACAACAACCCACAAGCAGCCACTGGGAACAGCATCCGCAAGAATCCAATTTAAGGAGGAAGGAAGTAAAACAGTGAGACGGGGTGGGGGCTATCTAATAGGTATAGATTAGATCTTAAAATCTTAGAATTCAGTTTGTAGTATGAAATAAAAAGAAGGACATAGGATGATTTACATGGTAAGTAAAGTTTCTGGTTCATTGTGCCAGAGACTTCTACTAATGGATTAATTTTATCTACAAGGAGAATATTATATTAGTTCATCTCAATACACAGAAGACCCTCAATACTGCATTTAATTTAATTCCACTGTCATCAATAACCAGACATGGGGATTGATATTCAACCAAAGCATTGTCAAAAAGCTTCATCAACACTGCAGCCACTTAATTGTGGATTTCCTTGTCTTGTTCCAAAAGTACAAGTTGAGAGCCAGTGTATCATAGCTGCTAAGATGCTAGACTTGGACAAGTTTTGTTTCCACTCACCACTGACCTCATTATGTGACTTCGGGTTAATCACACTCTCTCATCTCTGCATTACAAGGTTATTGCTGTGGAGTTAGTATTCAGAGAAATTGTCTACATACCCACCTTGAACCCTCTGAGAAAAGGCAACCAGTAAATGCAACCAATCAATCAATGAAATAAGCATATTATTACAGGATTAGTCAGACATGCTGTTCTGGAGTGCTTAAACATCCAAGTTGTTTTTTACCCACTCCTCCTATCTCACAGTGGTCTATGAAATCAAATTATAGCTTCAAGGCAGACTACATTAACCCAGTTTTTTTATGGATCACTCAAAATTCTAGTTCTATTTGCCAATACCCCATTTCTTTCCTAGAGTCTAGGATTGTGGGATAGTTCTTTCTCTCTTCTTTGAAAAGGGAGAAATACTTGACTATACTGGGCAAAAACAGACAGTGGTTTCCATGTCTATCATTTCAATCTATAAATATGTCGTGGAAAGATCCCTCAACTATTCTCTCTTTTCTTGCCTTCTGCTTTGCTGTCAGAGTAGAAAGAGGGGCCACAAGTCACTACATAAAGCAGCTATTATGTGATCCTTAAATTTCTTTGATGGTTACAAAAGTCAACTCATTGTTGGATATTTGCTGAACCACATT